GCCATCCAAACTACAGATTTATTATCTCATATAATATTAATATTAAATTGTAGTTAACTAACTATTCAGATAATTTACCTGTGACATATGCACGCTTGAATAATAAAATAACTCCACTAAACAGTATGTTTTGGGGTTATATCTGTCTCTCTCGCTTCAGATAATTATTTGATTTGTCACAAAATCTTATGTATTTTGTAGAATTATTCTGCTAGGAATACCGTGAATGAGGAAGATTGTTTAAAAAAATTGTTACTATTAAACCGATTTTTATACGAAAAGGCATTTCTGGTATTCTTTTTTATCGAACGTTTCTCTTACTTTAATATCGTGTTTGTAATTGTAGATTGCTCTATAATTTTCTTTATCGGACTTGTACAATATTTGAATTAGAATCAGTCACGTGTGGGCTATAAATATCATGTCGTGCATGCCTATCGTAACCAATAAAAACGATGTTATCTGTATGCACACTCTAGGCTCCATGCCGAAGGGCGTGCATACACTTTCCTTGTAAGGTCTCCGTATTCATTGCGCTTATTGATCGTACCCATTTTGCAATACATCATTGATATAACGGTGCATTTCGAAGACATATTGTATAATAATCGTATATTTGCTTATACACTGCAACTTCATTTAAACCATTATTTTCGGCAAGCACTTACTTGCATAGTAAAATCCTTAATATTAAACCGCTTTTGATTTTTTTTTTAGTTGGTGATCCGGAGATTTCGACCCCGGGCGTGTATAATGGAAGTTTCATGTACAGTGCATAACCTAAACCCTATTTGAAAGGTCCGTTGCTGATCCCATAATGATATATAACATGCCACTTACCATATAACCAATGGGTTTTCCCCCACTAAGTTAAACATGGCGACCTCCCAGAAACGTCCCAGAACACCATCTACCGATTACGGGCCCTCACTCAGTCCGCCAACACTCGAAGAAATCACTCTTTGTTATTTATCTGTGGACGCAGCATTACGTAAGAATACAAATAACTCTCACCCACTAGCAGTGGCAGAGGGTTCTATCGCTACTACAGAGATAAGAACAACATCTAGCGATCATGATAGCAGACGTTCGGGTCATGTCTCGCCGTGGGTCATAATTGTTTATTTGATTCTTGTTGTCAATGCTATATTAATGTCAGCTGTAATAATAATATTGATTCTTCTGATAAAGGTAAGTGTGCACATAATCGATCATTCGGCGAATATCAACCTTAACATAACTCAATATTAATGTTGACGCTTCTGACCTATTGCCATCGACAGGATGCCAATCATTACAATAAAAAACGTCCAGCTCTAATCGCTTGGCTTACAATAGAGTCCTTGTTTCGTCTGTGCGCCGTTTGCTTTACGGCCGTAAAATATCCTATAACTCATACAACAATCCATTCGCTGGGAATATTTTTGGGTACAGTATTGTCAGCAATCTAATGTGATTAAATGTAATCATCAATTGGTCAAACTTGTATTTATATCATATCATATTTACAACCAGGAAAAGAATATTACTCCACCTTGGTCAATTCATTCTGGCCTGACTCTGATCCATTTAAAGCGTTTGTAAACCTGCCAGGCATTAGGATTGATCTCGTATGGTTTAAGCAAGGCTTGTGTTATGCATTGGTTAATACAATCATTGGCATCTGGATTTGGGTTACGACATGGGAAGCGGTAACAGATGTTAAAGATGATTATGCCAAATTGTTAGCTATAGTCGGTCTAGTTGCGTGTATAACTAATAACATCAGCTGTCTTATCGGCACTCCCCTTGTAATTTGGGCGAGTCTCCGCACACCAACGAGTCATGATGATGATGTAGTAATGAGCCAAATAGAGACGCGGGTTTGAAAACTGTTCGACACATAACAATTACAAACATCTACTTGAAGTAGAAAGTTTATACGAGTGATTTACGAGGTATGAAAAAACACCAAGATATCAACAATTGATTATCCTATGTCAAACCAGAAAAGAAAGCCGACACAATTGTAGTGGTTTAATTAGCGGACGTTTAGGGGGTGTTTTAGATCATCTCATGCTGACGGAGTACATAATACGATTATTGCTTCGTTTTTAAATAGCTTTTCTTAGAATAAGGCGACTTGTAAAAATATTGCTTAACTAGAGTATTATATTAAATAATAAAGTTGTATAGAAACTTATTAATACCTACATACGTCGACGAGTGCTGAAATGGTTGATAGGAACGCATTCACAAACACTTTTGACCAAGATTCTATATTGTCTGTTACATTGGCGGATATAATTAGGATGACGTCTAAAAAATGCTCTCAGCATGCATCCCTGTTTACAAGTCTCGGTCATATGGAGACCTGCGCGATTACATATCCATTGCATTGCTGAACAACCAACAAACTGTCATAGATGCCGCAATTCTTTAAAATTGTACGTCATCCGGGAAAGTACATAAATCGACGGCGGCGTAATTTAATTGTGTACAGTCAAACCAAGGGTCAGAAACAGAACTACGTATATCACATGCTAGAGACAAATTTCTTGGTTTTACAAGCCTTTTTAGGACTAGTTCACGCATACTATCGTTGACGATTTTATCTTTTAGTTTGCCAACAGGCATTTTGAGTAACGTCAATCTATTATATTGAGCCCGACAACAAAATATGGCCTAATTGTATAGTGTTCTGCAACTGTTAGCTAAAGTATCAGTAACATTGGATGGTTTGTAGACGTCTGTCATAATAAACAGCTTACGGTTGTGACTTCATGTTTGTTGTTACTTTTTTTATTCTAATGTTACTACTAAACCCAACGTAATGTACGCATTTTCCACCGTGCATACGTTGTTTGTTCATTCTGCGGTTCTCTTTCGTTATAGTAAAGCGTTTGTATATTCGGACAGGTTTGTGAGAATGTTATCGGTTATGATTGCCAATAATAAAAAATAAAGTCTACATTTGTGATACTTCTCTATGCAGATATTCAAAATACACCAAATAAAGTAACCTAGACATAATTTCAAACTCTATTCTACGTTTGGCAGGCAGGCAAGTAGGTTCCAGAGTACAATACTTGTTAACTACTTCATTTAGCATGCAGTTAACATTTCTGGTGATTACACAATCTCAATTAGTAATAGTTTTTTTATTATTAATTCCTTGTTAAGCAATTCGTGTTTTCGAAGGTTTCACACATAATGCGACAAATACTAATACTAATTCAAATCGTAAATATTAATTTCAGTGCAAATTTTTTGCATTATCTTGTAAATCGTAGATATTTCGATACTAATTTTTCAGTTATGCGAAACTTGAGGTTACGTCAATTTTATGTTAATGTTTGTGTCAAATACTGAACAGCAGATCCGGCATTTATTATAAATACACTTTTTTTCTTTTGTGTCCCCGTCTAGCAATTGGACACAATATATAAGCTCAAAACCACAGCGTTAACTACAAACTTTATAAATTTCCTAAAATTTAAATATGGTATCATTATCACCAATTTTACAATGTTTTTTTGGGGGTTAAGTTTAGCTTGTCTGTGCTTTTCTTGCCTTTTATCTAAGAAAAACAAAAAAAAGCTACCGACACTGCAACTGATATGGGACTAGAAGTAGCAATATAATTAGAAGTAGTAGAAGTGACAGTCACAATAGAATCTTCGTCAACCAGCTCCCGTGCGACAGCAATAGAAAAGGCAGGGAAAGGGCAGACACAGAAGCTGAGAGAACAAAACAATAAGCAACAACAATAAGGCAATTGTAAACTAATTATATATATACTCTTTTTTTGGCTTGGAAAACTAAAAACCATAACTACATCTCTACGTAAAGTTCCAAAACCATTTTTTTTACCGGGAAAAATTATTCTTCTCGATACTTTTTTATTAATTCACAAAAACCGTTTTTTTAAAGTATTATTTGTGGTGTCTTTCTTTACCGAGGCAAAAAGGCACAAACTTTGACTGTCCAAATTACATACAAAGTCCAAAGTCAAAGTGTCAACAAAATTCCAAAACAATTTTACTCTAAGCCACATGAAATGACCGATTGGATAACAACAAAAACTTTAAATTAATCGGCTTGATAACTGAAGACCCGAATTTAAGAATGAGAACATTACCGATTTATATTTTCCTCTCAATAACTTGAAGTTAATAACCATAGCTCGAATAATTTGGAAGGCTTAGCCTCGCCTCAGCGTGCTAATTCAAATTGCTTTATTACTAAGATTATTTATAATTTATTACAAATACATCGATATATTAATATGATATGTTAATATTTGTAATGCTATTGTTTTTATTTAGTACTCGTAAATATTCTGACTTAATGTCTCTTTACTCTATTATAAATAGCAAAAAATTTTCAATCTAAAATTTGGTCTAAAGTAGCGTACGCTTTTTGTAGAGGAAAGCCAGCTATTGGATGTTATAGGGCTGTTATCCAAACCTTAACCGAATGATTGAATAATCTAAGAATTGGTCTTTACCAGTCAGTGTAATTGTGACTTATTTATACATGTTGAGCTATTTAGATATAACTGCTAATTAGCTGAATACACAGAGCAAGAATTCTATATAATAAACAAATCCAGTTTGTAGAAAAGCTGTAGTATTGTTAATTTAAACTGTTATGACAAATAAAAAAGCCCACTTTCATATTCTCTGATTGGGTAACAAGTCTAATAAAACGCTGCTGTTGGGTGCTATAATGCAACGTGTTCTTGAGTTAATCAATTTCAGATTAATTTGTTCTTTGGTTGAGTACTTATTGAAAAAATAATGAGGTAATCTAATTCTATTACATAAAATTTAGTCAAAACATCTTTTACTTTTGAATCATCTACTCATGTTGCAGATAGCCTAATAGTTGATTACGTTTTATATTTTATAATTAATACAAGATAACGTATTAGTATCTATACTTGTTATTTGGGTGTTACGTTGTATATTTGTGAAGGGCTAACCTTTTATGAGAAAAAAGCCAATTATAAAAAAATTGCTTTACTCTTTGGAAATAAATATTGTTAATATTATAAAGTTTATGTTTACATAAAACTTTATCAATGTTGTTTTACTACCGTCATGTATAAATAAGTATTATAAAAAATTACTCCGGTAATTGAAGACCAAAAACATCGACAATACACACATTAGATTATAGAACTCACAAGACAGGCAGGCAAGTCGTTGGCAATAACACCAGTTTATACACGTTGTTTGTTGTGTTACGATATCGATCTGCTGCGGGAGAATCGATTCATATATTTTAGAATTCTAACGATTAGTATATAAAAAAACAATTTATTTATTAGAAAAAGATAAAAGCTTTATTTACATAAAATAATAAAACGTTTTTACATAGATATCCTTTTCAAACATATGTTTGTTTCCGTCCAACTTGTGAAATTATACTTATCATAATATAGAATACCAGCTTGAAAAAGTAGAAATTCAAATCATACCACTTATGATACATACAACAATATTAATATATGCATATTACAAACTTTATCAAATTACATGACTGAAAGTCAATCGTATAGTATGCTGTAGCTTACGCCAAGGATATATTGGGTTCTCAAAGAGTTTGGTTGTCGAGCAAGTCGTTATAATAGTAAAGCTTTCTATCGTGAAATATCAAAACTTTTCCGAGCCTCATTACTAGCTCTTTTCCAGGCGATCAACGCCATTTTGGCGACGTCCTTGCGTTGCACGCCAACTAAACATTCAGCTAGAATGCATCTAAAAAAGGTAAAGTCATCGACAATTTTCGTCCATCCGCACTGTTTAGCCATTTCGCGAGCTTCAGACATAGTGGGTATTGGAAATTCGAGAAACAGTTTTCGGGCACAATAGTAAATCGAGGCCATTTTTCTTGATTTATCTCCCACTTTTCGCTCCGTAACGTTTAACGTAAAATCGCGCAAGTACGATACGTCCATTTCATTAAGAAGATACTTGTATTCGGGTGTAAGGTAAATGTTTATGCCAGATGGTGTAATTTGGATATTTTGTGTGAGTTGTGCTGTTTGTTTTGACTTGTCAATGTTGAGAATAGTGGAAGTCACAGATATTGGATTCTCAAAAGTCTGAGTTGTCGAACGAGTCGTGTAATTGTCGTGCCTAGTAAAGGTTTCTATTCCAAAATTGAAATTTTTTCGAGTCTCATCACTAGCTTTTTTCCAAGCGATCAACGCTATTTTGGCGACGTCCTTGCGTTGCACGTCAACTAGACATTCAGCTAGGATGCATCTAAAATAGCTAAAATCATCGACGATCTTCGTCCATCCGCACCGTTTAGCCATCTCCCGAGCTTCAGGCATAGTGGGTATTTGGAAGTCAAGCAACAATGTTCCACAAAAGTAGATCGAGGCCATTTTTCTTGGTTCATCGTTCACTGTCTTCTCTGTAACGTTTAACGTAGAGTCGCGCAAGTAAAATACGTCTATTTCATTAAGAAGGTACTTGTATTCGGGAGTAAGGTAGTTTGGCTTCATCATTGTTTACCTGGTGCGAAAGACTAGTATTTCTCGAACGAAATTCATGTTTAAATATTTTCCTGTATCGGAATTGGAATGTCATGGTAGAAATATCCCAAAATATCATTATAATAAGAACTTCATACCTATATGCAGTCGTATAATCGATAATTTGCATATTCTATTTATATTGATTGCTCTACGTAAATGTACAGGAAATCCACAAAAGAACAGTATTTTTCCGTTTGTTCTGTGTTCAAGCATTAGCACACATAAACTCGAGGTCTGAATTATATTAGTTACTTTACTTTTGTTTTGTAAACATTGATTATACCTTTTCCTTGAAAATCTTGATAGAAAAGGTATGGTTATTCACGAACAGAATCAATAACAGTTGAAATCAATCCAGAGAACCATCAATTTAATACCCGAGTTGCCTGCTCATTAGTAGAAAATGTGGGTATTGACATATTCAACATGTGCTAGCGTGACATGCTCGAAGAAACCCGTAGGCGTTTTTTCAAGCGTTTATGTGATAAAGTCGCAGATAGCGATAACAAATACAACAAGAACACATGTTAGCATTCGTGCGCAAGGCGAAAGGTTTGTATGGTGAGCGTCTTGTTAAGTTTTACCTATAACTTGTGAGAATGTATTGATAACTTCAAGTCTACAGTTTGTCTTAATTCTGGTATTTCGTATGAATGAGTATGTTGTTTTGCAACGATTATCACGGACGCCTAGTACACGTATTATAACGTGACTTTGTATCTTAGTTACAACAAAACTCGAATATATCAAATGGAAGTAGAGGTGAACAAGAATTAAGAGCTGACATTCTTGGTACACAGGGGAGGTGTTAACTGTAAAAAATAAAGCCGGTTTTTGCAATAACGATTTTGCTGCGGAGAGATTAATTTGGGATACTTTTGCGGGCACATAATGATAATTGTTGTGGGCGTAGTCGAACCATCTCAACATAATTGATATGAAGAAAAAACTTTATATTCGCATAAAAATAATCGAACGATATTACTTCCCTAACTATACGTTATTTCCGATCCGCTTGAAGATATTAAAAATTCTTACATGCAGTTGCAGTTTATTACATGTTACGAACTTTCACCAAGTTTCCATACCGAGACAAGCCACAAGTATTGAATTCTTAAAAAGTTTGGGCTGTCAAACAAGTCGTATGTAGTCCAGACCTAGCAAAGCTTTCCCTTTTCCTATTCTGAAATACAGAAACTTTTCCGAGACTCAGCATAAGCACGCCTCCAAGCGATCAACGCTATTTTGGCAACGTGCTTGCGTTGCACGTCAACTAGAAATTCAGCTAGGATGCATCTAAAATAGCTAAATTCATCCAAGATTTTCGTCCATCCGCACTGTTTAGCCATTTCGCGAGCCTCAGACCTAGTGGGTATTGGGAAGTCAAGCAACAGTTTTCCACAATAGTAAACCGAGGCCATTTTTCTTGGTTCATCGTTCACTGTCTTCTCTGTAACGCTTAACGTAGAGTCGTGCAAGTACGATACGTCCATTTCATTAAGAAGGTACTTGTATTCGGGAGTAAGGTAGTTTGGCTTCATCATTGTTTACCTGGTGAGAAAGTCGTTTTCTTGAACTGAATTCATACCTAAATATCCCTGCATTGAAGTGTTACGGTAACAAAAAGTCCCAAAATATCATTATAATAAGATCCGTCTTTACACCTATATTCGGTTGTATAATCGATAATTTCATTATGCGCAGTTGCAATGGATGCATATTCTATTGCTCTACGCAAATGTACATTTGGCGTACAGGAAATCCCGTCCGCCACCACAAATTACATTTGTTTTGTGCTCAGCGTTAGCACACATGTACTCGAGGTCTGAACTATGTCAAGTTACCTTACCTTTGATACCTTTTGCTTTGTAAGCATTGATGATACCTTTTTCTTGCTTGGAAATCTTGAAAGAATGTTAGAAAAGGTATGATTATTCACGACCTAGATCAATACTATTGAATCAATCTAGAAAACTATTTGTTCAATACCCGAGTTGCCTGCTCATAGGGGTATTAAATCCTGCGTGTACTCACGTGACATTCTCGGAAGCCGTTCTGCCGGGCGTTTATGTGATGAAGGCGGGCGCAGATAGTGACAACCAATAAAACAAGAGCATATGTTAGCATTTGTACGCAAGGCGGGGAAGGCTTGTATGGTGAGTGTCTTGTTAAGTCTAACATGTACTTTCAACTGTAACCTGCGAGAATGCATTGGTAGCTTCAAGTCTACAGTTAGTCTTTATTGTATTTTTCGATTATGGGCCTTATAGTTGCGCACATACGAGTAAATAATAATTATTGTTTATCATTATATTGTGTGGCTTTGTATTTTTGAACTCGAATCGTTCAAAAACAAGTAGAAGTTAGTAACAAAGATTAAGAACTGGCATTCTTACGACATAGAGTTAACTGTAGCAAATTTAAAGAATAAAGCCAGTTTTGCGACTATTCTGCTGCGGAGAAATTACATCTATCTATATTTGCGCGCACAATGGGCATAATACGTAGTCGAACCACTTCATACGATTAATATAAGAGCAGCTTTTATTAGATATCCTTTGTTGTTTGGCCGCTATTCCATTCGCTTGAAGATATTACCATTCCCAGTCATAGTTTATACATATTACAAACTTCATCAAGTTTCCAGGACATATTGGGTTCTCAAAAAGTTTGGGCTGTCGAACAAGTCGTATAGTAGTCCAGACCTAATAAAGCTTTCCCTATTCTGAAATATCGAAACTTTTCCGAGACTCCTCACGAGCTCTTTTCCAAGCGATCGACGCTATTCTGGCAACGTCCTTGCGCTGCACGTCAACTAGACATTCACGTAGGATGCATCTAAAATAGCTAAAGTCATCCAAGATTTTCGTCCATCCGCACTGTTTAGCCATTTCGCGAGCTTCAGACATAGTGGGTATTGGAAAGTCAAGCCCACAATAGTAGACCGAGGCCATTTTTCTTGGTTCATCGTTCACTGTCTTCTCTGTAACGTTTAACGTAGAGTCGCGCAAGTACGATACGTCCATTTCATTAAGAAGGTACTTGTATTCGGGAGTAAGGTAGTTTGGCTTCATCATTGTTTACCTGGTGAGAAAGTCATTTTCTTGAACTGAATTCATACTTAAATATTCTTGCATCGAAACGTCACAGTAGCAAAAAACCCCCAAAATATCATTATAATGAAAACTGTCTTCACACCTATATACAGTTGCATAATCGATAAGTTTGCTCATTCGCCCATTTCTTAATATGGCATGTTTTATTTGTATTGATTTCCCCATGTGGATGTGGGATGGGCAAATCCCAAAATAGATTATCATTGCCCATTAACCTGATCCGCTCTCGAGGAAGATGTTTGCTTATTTGGCGTACAGGAAATTCCGCCTGACCTGACAATTACAACAACTCCGTTTTTGGGGTTATCGAATTATCAACGACATCTCCAATGCCGTCTGTGACGTCTCTTCCAGACTACAACAAGTTTACACTTTTGTTCCAAAACTTGTATCGGGCAACATTCCTTTGGCAGTACGGCCCAATTCCAATTCCAGTATCGGTCTTTTTAGTTCACGTCCCATCCGTTATTTCTCCTTCCTCCGTCACTTCCTCCTATTCGGTCTTGATAGATGCGGGTCACAGATCCCACGTCGAATCTCTCTCCTCGGCTCTATCGACGCACCTCCAATCACATCCCGAGTTTCCTCTCAAATACGTGTTTCTGACGCATGGGCATCACGACCACACAGCCGCACTGCCGACGTTACTGCGTGCGTATCCGGAGCTTAAAGTGGTGATCGCTAGGAATGAGTATCCGTTTGTCGTCGAGGGGGAAAAGTACAGGGACTGTACTGGTGATACTTGCATATTCCAGTTGTTCAAGGGACTGGCTGAGGAGAGTAAGGTTAAAGTGGATAAGGAGTACGTGATGGTGATCGAGTCGGGGGAAGAGGAAAATACGATATTTGGAAATGCTGTCAAGGTTGTTCGAACGAATGGGCATACTCCTGGTGAGTGGGGATGTGACGGGAGGGATTGACGCTAAACAAAAAAGTTTGCGTTTGTCCCAATGGTTTTTTTCGCTGTACTTCAACTAAATGACCTTTTTGACAGGCTCACTCTCGTTTCTTCACATTCCATCCAATTCGCTTGTTTGTGGTGATGCTCTTATGAATTTGGCCTTTCTGACGTCGTCGCCATCTCTATCCTTACCTGTGACAGCGTTCACAGTTTCGGTAAGCGGTGCGCGCAGTTCGATCAAACAGATATCTGAACGTCAGGATGTAGACTATGTTATGCCAGCCCATGATCTTAGCTTTGGCGGAGTGCCAATAGAAAAGGTCAGAGAGTTTGCGAGCAAGTTGTAAGAAAACGCGCGTTTCGAGAAGGAAAAGGGAGGAGAAAGGGGGAGGGGGAGTATGTGTATGTAAAAGGTATTTTGCTCTTTATTTGTATAAGGGGTACCATGCGGTCGCGGATATAGCATATTTTTTAACCTTGGTAATGGAATGCGAATTAAGTAAAACGATTTATGGATTATATAAAGTATTATATTTACCGTTGTTGTAATCGTATTAAAGCACCTTCAAGTGACAATGTTGAATATTAATTAAAGTTGATGGCAGCCGTCATCTTGGAGTAGGTTTGGGATGAGAGAAAATAAAGCGAACGTTGCTGTAGTAGAAAGTGCATGACTTTTTCGACTTTCGAGCCCTCCGTTCGAATCAAAGATTCAAAACTCGCACAATTTTGTCGAATGGGGGGTATTAGCCGATACCGAAGGGCAATTTTTGATTTAGACCGCGTTTGACTTGATGACGCAAAATGTTCTGAAAAGTCTTCTTCATGCGGCAATCTGGTGGGATCCAAAGTAATCAATCTAACGACTCGACAACAAGGTGTAGGTTCATCAGACAGAATTTGAAGTGCTTATTATATAGGTTTGAAACACGTGAAAAAGTAATAGAAGAAAGAAGCTTGTTACACGAAGTTTTCATAGATGCACGCTGCAAAAGCAATACATGAAAATTTCATGTTGCGACGCTTCTAAACCTTAAAGGCTTGTATTTTTCAACAATACGACGTGCCACAAAATGCACGATCCAAATACTTACGAAAAAGCCATAGTCTTTCAGCTCTTAAAATAAATATTAAAATAATTTTTATTCTAAAGCAGATGTGTTCGTTGTATGTAGAGCGTCATTACTACAATATAAGACATTAATTATACTTACTAATCTCCGTGATGACACGCACATTAAATTTAACAGTCGTTTTCTCGAACCGATTTTTTCAGAGATTTCCTTAAACTCAATCGTCTAACGTTTGGATAGTTAAATTATTAATATTAGAGCAAATTATTTAGAAATAGGTTAAAGTAGATAATGCTTGCCTTTGTATTTGGCAGGGTTAATCGAGTAAACAATAACAGAAGGCATATGACCATTATTATCGCGTGGTTGGTAGACATATTTAGTAATAAATGAAAGGAAAGTATAAAGTAAGCTATCTATCACCGATTATACACAATTAAACAATGAAATCGAAAAGACGAACCAACAATGACCAATAGACAAACAAACAAATAAACAAATAAACACCTGCCCAATGAGTGGCTTAACTGATCGCAGGGCTTGCGCTAATCTGATGTAAGATATGTAATGAGAAAGAAGGAGTAATTATTAGCCCTAATTGTTATTGCATGTATGTCTGACGTCAATTTATTACTATATTGAAACAGACCATGAACAGTATCTTGGCTTGGCAAGTTCTTCATAACCTAAAAAATTGTGTGACAATCCATTATCTTAATGCCTCAATGGCACTAAAGTAACGGGTATGCATTCAACGTTTTATCAGTAATAATGGCTTACTATACATGCCATCACAGACTTTGCATGCGGAACACCTGCCGTAATCGAAAGCGTAAGGCTAAAATCTTTGTTGTCGGCTGTGCAGTAATGACTGTAGATGTCTTTCTCTTCATCACCGTCCCGCATATAAACATCGTCAAAAGACGACAAAAATTTTTCGGAAAAAATTTGCTTGCACAGCCTCCACTAACAGCGCACACACCACCGAGTCCAATCCCTTCGATCAACCTTTTTTTTTTTGCAAGGCGTTTGCAAATCTGTAATTCAATCGCATGTGATTTTTTTTAAAACGGGTAAAAGAAGATGCGTGGAAAGCATTTCGCGATGTATAAATTAACTCTCTCTACCATTAGGCATGATTGTTGGGGGCTGATTTTTTGATGTTCTGTTTCAGAAACGTAAATGACTGAAAGTTGTTCAACTAAAAAAAGTAACTGTTTGTGGTGCGGGCGAATTTCGACAGAAGTTTCAACCTTTAATTCGTGACACACTGTATCAAAGTCCTAAGAGTATAAAAGAGGTGTGTGCGTTCACAGTATTGAAATCAAATTGTTATGCAAAAGCAATTACTAATAACCAGCCGATATGGCAGACATGTATGTAAAAGCATACAGTAACATGACTTGCTTGACAAGCAGCAGCAACTTGTGAAAAATATAATGAAAAGATACCGGATTGACATTTCTTTGGGGTTACTGTCGCGAGAATTCAAGAATGGCGTAAATTAAAACAAGCTTCTTCTCTGTTTATACGACAAAGCGGGCGGACCGAGCGCTTTTTTTTTTTTGCCTTTATAATTAGCAGGATGAAGAATTATTAGTATATTGTTACTTGAATGTTATATTCTACAATAGACGTAGTAAAGTGTCAACTTACGCACCAAAGTTATGTTAGAACTTGGTTTTAGTTAGTTCAAGCGTCCTTCTCATTTCGAGAAAAAAAAACTCTCTCTCTTCCCCTCTTATTCCCTTGATATCAAATATTGTCCTCACTCGAAACAATTTCTAGGCATAACTAACTACCCTTAAAATTATGCCTTGCTGAAACGAGGGGGCCCATTACGCTCACTACATTAGGGTAACTCATAGTAAAGCACAATGTTGCATATTTCACATGCTTTGATGCAACACAAACCATTAAATATTATCCAAGCCACAATTATCACACAAGCGAGAAAAAAAAAAGTGTCATCGACTAATTATATAAAAACCTGCCACCAACTTGTAGATAAATAACAGCCATCGTACTTCAAACAGCGTCTCGTATATATAAACAAACTTATATAAAAGTTGTTTTCCCCCTTCAGATCATTCACGATAAGGTTTAATGTGTGTATATTTAAATAAATAAAGAAGCTAGGTCATGTGGGGCCTTGCTTGTTATCACAAATATCATAATATTATATCAATATAAAAACGTTTGTTCTCATGAATAAGTATCAACTACGTTGCACATACACAAATATCTCAAATCGCGCTATCAGCGAATCTAGATTACGCAAAATCTTTCTGTTTATCCGTGTGGATAAATAACATTGCATTGTTATTCACAGAATTAGTTGTTAATTTTATGAGCAAGAACAATATTAACAGTCACATAAATGAATTGCCATATTTTGCCACATGCATATGTTTCGTATTTAGCCGTAATTAGGTTAAAAGTAGGTTAAAAATAAATTAAACTTTATCTTATGGCGCTAGGTATACAGTGGAACCCCGCATATATTAACAATAGAACCTACTTGCAGCAACTTAACTTAATACTCTGTATCAGCTTTCATTGTAATAAATTATTTTCTTTGTCTTTTTGTCCGAACAATCATCATCGAAAGTTATTGTTATGAGTGTAAAGAATAGAATAAACAAACAATGATATCGGTTCTAACAAAGAATTATCAGGTGTGAGGATAAGAGCAAAGGGGGGGGGAGTGAAAATAAATTGCCGGACCAAACTTTAAAATGCGTATAGTATATGATTCCATTGTTGTGTTTGATGCATCCAATGCGCATGATAGCTAATAGAACATTCAATCAAAATTCGTCCGTTGGCGACGACAATGTAGTTTATACTTATATAGCAATTTATATAAGGCAATACAAAAAATAAATATTTGTTCAGAAAAACTGAATAAGAAATCATAAATTTTATTTGCAGCCCTTACATCGATATATTGATCAATTGAGATATTGTTGTTTTTAGGTCATGCGCTCGTAAGAAGTTATAGCCCCTGAAACATAACAAGGATACGTAAAGTAAATCATGGACACTTCGCCATTTTCTTTACCTAGAAAAAAAAAGCTATTTAAAAGTGTGCTGACAGTTCCGTGAGTTTTTTATCAGTGCGTGCAGAACAACCAACGCATTAAAACACACACTGCCATTCATATTTAAAAAACTCACATCTAACTGACCGTAAACACCGTCTTAACGTCTATACAAGAATTATCTTTTTAATCGAAACTGAAACAAACACCGGCGTTTGAAACAACTATCGTCAGTCGGACGCTTTTCTTCTCGTTGGATATAACAACACTTCAACTGTACGTGGTTAAATGTGCTCACCCTACCAAACGCTTGCTCTCATGGCATACGGCATGAATAGACGTTCATTCTTCTTACGAACCTCTACCAAACGTTCACGATTCTTCTTTTGGACTTTTTTTTTTCTTCCTAAGAACCCCTACACTACACTACTTCTTTCGTACACTAATTTGCATACTTGCATAATATTACAAACTACATTCACACCTTGATTTGTCATTGTTTGTATAATGTTTGACTTTATACATGTTTATTTATACACGTAATTTTGTCCTTGTGTCATATTGTCAACTATGTTCATACCACACAAATTGCCTCATTTCACAATCCAAGTTATCCGATTTCTGTACACCCTTTCTTTAAAAATTATATATGCCATATATGGTAGGGTTAATTTTTTACACAAAGAGTACGCATTGGCCAACAAGACATTAACATTGCAGACTGGCTTGACCACAATGCAATACAGATAAGATTTCAAAGACTTTCCATTCGTGAGAGTCATTCGACTTACCAATGTCATAGGATTTTACCTACACTTGAACGGAATGGATTATCAATCAATCGACAAGACGCAGATGTGATCGCTATCGATGACGACAAGTTTTAATTTGGAACTCGGTTTGCTTGCTTATACGATTGCCCCATGACTTCAATTAAATGTCATTGCACGGGCTATACTCATCATCCCACCCCCCTTCCCGCCCGGCCCTCCCCACACGGTCCCTGCACGGGCTATACTCATCCATCATTGGATGAGCTTGGCATACATAAAAATTGTCTCCCGACTAATTCAAGCGTCACTACAGGGGTTATACTCAATGGATAGGTCCCCGACAAATACAACATTGCACGGGCTATACTCATCTTTCATTGGATGAGTACAATAAACAATGGTCCGCCGTTCGCTTTATCAACTATCGCGAGGGAACTTTTATTCACTCTATCAACAAACCATGCACGACGAATACCGTACCCACAAAACAACGCCGGTGAGGGCGTTTTTCAGAATGCTGACCGACATTACGAGTCGGTATGCGGCGTTGGTGGCTTCGACAGTATATCGCGAGGAACTTTTATTGGCTTCGACAGTAACTGCCACGGTTATCACACCGCCGCAAACAATGACTATAGGGGGACAAGTATATCATCTGTCCACGTTGATAACGGTCATGTCTCTACTTGTCTGGCGATCCCATCCTGCTGGCCTGGCGAAACAACAAATGATGACATCTTCGACCACTCTAACAATAAGAAGTTCCGATAACGGCATCAGCATCGTCGCCACAGGAAATAGAGACTTTGGGTACTTTCGGCGAAATGATTCTGGAGTTATACAAAAATGACCCAGAAGGTTGTTTTATTACCGACATCTGACGGTCTAAGACGGGATGGACGAAAAATGAGGAAATCTGACGCTTTCTCCGTAACCATGACCACTCTTCCTCCACATATTAAAGGCAATATCACAACACGAGACATTCGACTGGCCAATGTCATGGTTCGGCTGGCCGCCGGGAGACGGTCAATATGGGAGGAATTGGACATAACGAGGGGTCGTTGTAATAAAATAGTATATTTTTAGAGGAATACGTTATAAAATGCTCCCTTACGAAATTTGTGCACAAATTTAGAAGAATATGCTTTAAAATGTTTCCCTACGAAATCTTTACAGCAATTTTGGAGGAATACGCTAACTGTCATTGACAAATAACTTCACTTAATATTTACAAACTGTATTTAACTAGCAATAAATAAAATTTTATCAGTTAACTTAATATCCAGTCTATATAACCGATTATGATTATCACGAGCTGACATTGATCATGGCATGTATTCGATTGTCAGGTTTTGCGTCGTCGTCGATAGCATTTTGATTGTCGATCAAATTTTCGTTTACAACACATGGTCAAATAATTCTTGAGCATTAGGGCATTGCATTGAAGCGACATTATAGTTATCTACGGCAATGAAGGTACGATCTAAAGAGTACGTTTGACTGACATGTCCGTATTTGGTAAGCGCGAGATTTGAACTGTAGAGATGCGCGATGACATCATAGATAAAATGAAAAAATCAACCGCAACACTCTTTTTCAATTCTCTTCTCGTTCAACATATCCATCAGCATTTAGATGTCCAGCTTGTCTGACCTGTTAAAACAAATTCAGTCAACACTCACTACTTCTACTCCCAGTCTTCAAGAAACGCTCAACTCGATAGATTCTTTCGCTTCTACGCTCTCCACGCATTCCAATCCACCCCTCGAGCGTGATCGTCATGATCGCCTATGCAACGAGCTGACATCAATTTACAAAAACATTCACGATTCAAACAAGATATTACCATTCTTTCAAATTCTGCATGCTCTGCTTCCTATTCTCACTCCCGACGTGATAATCACAAAATGGTGGGATAACGTTCTGAGTCCGATATTGCAATCTCAAGGGCATACCAAGGACATTGTCGAAGAAACTAAAAAGATTGTTATCGATTCTATGACTGGAGAAGGAACGAAAGTGGGCAAATTTGTAGAATGCATTACGGAGAGGTATCTTGAGGAGAGTGCGATGGAAGGCAATGCTGTTGGGGAGGAGGATAGCGGTGGAGAAAAAAGGGAAGAGAGTAGGAGATTCTGGTTTAGAAATCTTGAAAGTCTTTTGAGAGGATTTGGGAGTGTTAGAACAAAGGTAAGGGCAACAGAGTGTATGGGCCCGATTGTTTGAACACGTGTTTTTTTGGAAAGATGTCGATGAGAAATGTTTTCTTCCAGAGAGGTGATTGTGATTGCGCTTTGCTGATTTCTTCTCATGTATTCATTATCTTTACGTAATAGAACTTTTTCACACTTTTAAACAAATACTTTTTGGAGAAAAAGACTCGCCTTCAAGTGTTGACACTTCTTGGAATATTTATAAGACAGCAGGTGCGTGTTTTTTTTTCTTACGTGATTTACGATAATCATCACAGAAACGTTAATTCCTATTTTTTTTTTCCCCCACAGGCTATCAATATTCATCAGATTCTTGAAACGTCTTTGCTCGAATCAATTCTAACTTCTCTCCAGGTATTTGGCAATTACTCGCACTGATGTAAAGTACGCCATCCCCGATATATGTTTAATTAATCACTTTTAAAATTGTTGCTATTTATATATGCATCTTCAATTCCAATGCTTGTTTCTTCTTTTCTTTTTCTTATTCTCATTTTGCAGATAGACTCCTCGACAACCCTTCTCTCTCTCTCTCTTACAACCCTAATAATGCTTATGCCTCACATTTCTACTTCCGTAGTAGAAAATCTTCCTCAACTTTATAGCGTATTTGTGAGAATACTTTGTTGGGATAAACTGACTCGGCATGTCGATATCGATTTTGGGAATGATGATGTCGAAGATCAAATTGAAAGGATAAGTTATAGAATTGATGATGATGAGGAAACCTTGAATGCAGAAAGAAATCGTGATAACATTGACTGGCAGAGGTTTGGTAAGTTACTGAATGGGATGAGGAAGGTGAAAGAGGAGGGAGGACGAGGGTTGGGTGGATAAATAGGGAGAGGCAGGTCTGTTCCTTTTAGTGGTACAAATGAGTGCCTATGCACACCATATCGTGTCGAGATTTTTAAAATATTGCAACAACTTGCCTGTTCAAAAAATAGATTCAAGTTTCGATACTGCTCCTTCAACTCCACCGAATTGTCTACCATTATTCACGTTTCTGTATGGCATGTTTCCATGCAATACCGTAAAGTTTCTACGAGATCCCAGAAGATGGTTTGCAGAAATGAATTACACGCCACTATATGAACAAATTGATGAAAACATAATTCGATCGCGCAGTCTGGTAAATATATATTTTGAAAGTAGAATTTCTTTTATCATTACGTTCTTTTTATCCTAACTCTGGCTTTCCCCATTAACCAATTCCCGTGCCCCCATAGCCACTTTTCCGTCGTCATACAATTCACCCGAAACTTATTCTTAACGATTGTGAACGCGAACTGTCCGATACTTCTCGCTGGAAGAAACTAGAACCCGCCGAGGTAGTGGCCGAGTGCGTTAGCTATGATATCGAAAACACGGGCGGAGTTATTAGGAAAATTACCGAAATTGACCACAAGAAAGGTGATAGCGAGGATGGTGGTGATGATGATGCTGATGATGATGAAAAGGAGGAAGGAGACGGTAATAAAGTGAGGAAATTGTCGCAGGCGATATCGATGCAGGATATTATTGGAATTCATCAAGCTTTAAAGAGTGGTGCTGACATTGTTGTTGGCGATGATCCATGGGTAAGTAAAACAAACACGAAAATGTCCCAAGATTGTTGTTACACACTTGCTTGTTTTCGATTTTTTTTAACCCAATTTTTTTTTTTCAAAAGTCATCAACGATCTTTGCTCCTCTTGTCCCACCCTATGAACAATCGTCGCTACCTCTTTCTCCTCCTTTGCGCCCATCGACAAACACGCAAGCCAAAATATCCTTCCTGCAACGCGAAATAATGCTCCTCCGCAACGAACTCAACTTTGAACTCTATCTCAAACAACAACATCTTCAACACATTGGTAGACTGCATCACGATCATGTCGTTGACGCAAGCGTCGAAGCAGAACGACAGAACTTGCATCGTACGTGCAAAATGTTGAGGACTCAAATAAAACAAACGCAAGATGCATTGGATAAACAGAGAAGCGAGATGCAAAGTTCAAGGAAGAAGCAAGTAGAGTGGGAGAATGAACTGAATGCAAGGATAAAAAAATTCAGGGAGGAGAGGAAGGAATGGGAGAACAAGGTGAAAACTTGTCAAAATCAGGTGGACGATGCAAAGACTGCGAATAAGCTAATCAGGGAAGAGTTGGATAAGGCGCGGGATAGGTGAGTTGGGCTTGCTGTAATTGAGTAGCGATGCATTGTTACAAGCAAGTATATCAGATTAATTCGTAGCTTGATTAATGACGGCTATATTTATTTGACATTAATGGGAAATAGAGTTTTTAAGCTTGAGACTGAACAAGAAACTCGCAAAGCCGAGCTTACCAAACTGTCCGAGTATGAAAGTCAAATAGACCGACTAGCGAAGAAGCTACTAAACTGGTAATCATTTAACCTTTTTAAAGGAAGAAATTGTATAATCACTACTTTTTATTTCATCTGATTGATTTTATTCTTTTGCTACATTCACTCAATTTAGGCAAAACAAATCAAAAGAATTCCAAGAACAAGAGTGGGAAATAGAAAAGCTAGTCGCTCAAGCGAAAAAGATGGAAGTAGTTAGTGAGACTAACGAGCAAGTAATGCGCCAATTGAACGAGACTATTAGGTATTGAATTGGTGGTCGTTTATGAAACAGCGATTGCGAACGTGACGCAGACTATTAAATAATGTTCTCGTTTACTATAGCACTCAATCGCAGATAATTGATGATCTTAAAGCCAAGTTACAGCAACAAAAGACTACCAACAAGCAGGATGAGAGGCAGGTGTGTGATTCGTAATAATAATTTTCGGCAGCAGAACTTTTTATCGGGTCGTCGAGCACAAGAAGTGATCGATATGCTTTTGATATTCCACGACAAGTATCTCATATAACTACGCACGATACTATTTGCATCTCTTTTTTCCTTACGATAATTCAAAAGGGTTTATGGGTCATTGAGCGAGAAACACGTGCTGCTAGAGAATATGCGAAAGTGTCGCAATCATACGACTTGGCTCGAAAACGCAACGAAGAACTCGAGGTACACTTTTGCACGCACTTATCGCATCGCCCATATATTATCGATACTGATCACGCTGATCGTTTGCATTTATTTTTATAGGGTACAGTACTGGAGTTGAAGGCCAAGATTGAGATGATGAGTAAACCATCACTGCCTCAACCGCCTGAAGACGATTAAAATAATCAAATAACGCTGGTAACCGCAACAACAAACAAACCAGCCAAAGTGTTATCTTAACTAGAACAGGCTTGGGCGGAAAGAGAATTCTGAGAGAAACCGCAAATTTCAGACTAGATGCATCCGAATAGCTAACAAAGTTCTTAACGAAGAATCTATTACCGAATATCGCCCTCCTTTCTTGAACGGATTAGAGCTTGATGCCGTCTTCCAAAAATATCGAACCACATCGGAGGCGCAACGGGCTCAACGTCGGCTTCATAACACTTGTTGGTACAAGGTGTTAAAAAACTCGAAGATATCATTAATCGAGATCGGCAAAAAAGATGCATATGTCTGGACAATGAAACCTTCCTTTGCGAGGTGTGGCATGATGAAAAACCGGGAATTGTTATTCCTAGGAAAATCAAAAATATTCAGGAGTTTATTAATAAACAGCATTTCCAAACTTGATGTAATTCAATTTGTTGTATCAAATCATGTAATAATCATTTTTGACTATTAAATGGGGCCGTTCACTCAAGACCGGCCACTAGATAGTGACTTGCCAATATTGGCTTCCGACAGATCCGCAGACGTCTTGTGTGTCCCCAACAATCTTGACTATTAAATGGGGCGTTCACTCAACTACTAGATAGTGACTTGCCAATATTGGCTTCCGACAGATCCTCAGTCTGACGCAGACGTCTTGCGTGCCCAATAGACACCCCCAACAATCACTGTAATCTCGAAGTCAGCCAGCCATCCACTTAGACAGATATGTTGCATTATTCGCTCAATCTATCTTTGATGATTTGCTATTACTAGCTTCCGACAAATCCTTAGTCTGTCGCAGACGCGTCCTTCTGCTTACAGTGTTGCGGTAAAAGAGGCCTAGTAACCTGTACAGCAATGGCGAGAGCGATGATCTAAAGCAGCAGTCTAACTCGCGATCACGTGTAAAATTAACACAAAATTACATATCGTGTAAATTTCAGTCTTTGTTTTGACAAAATGGACACGTCATGCCTGACTGGTATAAAGATGAATGGCTAAAGATCGTAGTTGCCATGGGACCGCTTGCGACACAAGACTTCAAAGTCATGACTGGTGTAGAGATAGATAAATGGCTGAAAAAGTACGTATTTAACCATTCATCTCTATACGAGTCATGACTTTCAAGTCTTGCGTCACATGTTGCTTAGTTACTAATTTACGATAAAAGGGGCTTTAGCAAGCATCTCATTGCAAATAAAAGTTTCTTCGTGGAGACTCGAATTTCCAGCTCTTTCAAAATATACTTTACATAATTGAGTCCAATGGAGTCGCGCACATGAGAACTATAAAACGAAAACAGTCGGATAATAAGACAAAGAAAATAACGAAAAGAGCTCATGTTCTTATTAGCCGTTGTGAAGGAATATTGCGCAGCGCAAATGCAACCACATCATCCTATGAGTAAGTTGTAGTAGCCGATGTTTACTTTTTTTTTTAATCAATGCTCACTTTCTGTTTATATTTATTCATTGCTTTTTAGTCCGGCTCATATTACATTGTGGACCTAACGCCATCTTCGAAACTTAAAAGTCGGTTTCTAATGAGGAGTGGGTTAATTTAGTCGAAAAACAAGCCTGAAGCGGTTCGAAAGTTTTATCATCACGAAATCGAGGTACTCGTTGCTCATTTATTTAACCAAAGGGTAAGAATATATTAATTGTGGGCTGAAAAAATTTGTATATGTTTTTAACGTCTTTAATTTTTTAGATGGGCTCGCGAAAAATGGTATGAACTCCGAAGCTTAAATGCTCCTAGATACAACAATGAGTTTTCATATGGAGAAAATGACTGGCCCAAAATTACGCGTTGGGCTGAACGAGTGACAGGACAGTTGTATGTTATAACTTGTTATTTATTTTTGCAAGATTATAAATTTTATTACATTATGTTTAATTGCTTTTTTTTCATCATAGTTTGGACGCATTTGAGTTTGTCCATAATCCACTAGTACGGCATAATTGTAATGAGCGAGAATGGACGGGCAATTATATAGCTCCATTAATACAAGGAGTTCTTATGTTGTATGGAAGTCTTTGTGTTCCATGGTAAATTACAATTAAAGTGGAATACAGGTAGGTGCGATTAATTCAGTCAGTGTCGGTTATCTCGTTTCATAAAACTTGTTGTACTTATACGTTTTACTTGCGTTGGCTCGCTCAGACGTACATGACAGAAGTCCGAGTCTATTTAATGGAGAAGCGTGACGTATATTTCTTGCATCATCTGACATCTTTCAACATCCCGCTCACATTTTCAGCATATCATTATCTAAAGGACGCAATCAGAGTGGCATGGAATATTCGTGTGAGTTTTATTTAAACTTGTGTTATTTGACATTTTGATTATTATTCTAATTGATTGCTTAACTTATAGGGTTTTGTTAATTCCCGTCCGAGATTTAAATGACGATGCGATGATGATGAGTTTAAAACTCCTCCACCATATGCGCTAGCAGTGAATATAAAGAAACACCACCGAATCGACCAAAGAACAAGAAAACAAAATTTGAGGAAGCAATGTTGCGTACAACGGTTTATCAGTTTCTTGTTTGGCTTGGGGTAAAGGCTGATCATAGTTAATTCTCGATACGAGCACTTTAATGTTTACACTAGAGTTTAACTGTATCGAAGTAAAATATTTGCTATTGACTAAACAAATTTAAAGTATGCCGTCTCCGATGCCTGTAAGAGAGTCCATGCACATCGAGATATATGGAGCCAAGATAAAAATAATCTCTATTGTCTTAAATGGTCATGTGAGACTGATCACCCAAAAGATATTCGGTAACTTTTCGATTATATCGAATACTATAATTTACTCGTAATAGAGACGAATCAAATTCTTTCTTACTTGCGTAAGATCTCAGTAAACAAAAGCGTATATAATATGTTATTCTCCTCTCAAGACGTAATAAAGATCATATTATATTACGTTACTATGATAAATGGTATTCCATTCGCTGTCGCCAAGATCGTATGCCTGCACCTTCAAAATAAGCTCGCGAACGTCATCCCGAAGCTTCTTTGCATCTAGACGCTTATTAGGATCAGCATCACAACACCACCTAGCAATTTTTTTATATTCCTCTGGTGCCGAATCAGGCATCAATGGTCGTAGTCCACACATTATATCACGTATTAAATCTCTGCTGAATTCTCTATCTTTAAAAGGTGGTTCACCAGTGGCGATTAAATACATGATAATACCAAAAGAATATATGTCTGACTTTTGAGTAAACTTGCGAGTACGAAAGACTTCTGGCGCAACAAAAGGCAAAACGCCTTGAATGGTTGGATTTGTTTGACGCGAATTCACTGATCGTGAGAGACCAAGATCGCATATGAATGGTATGACTTCAAATATACTATTATGCAGAACTATGTTCCCACCATGAAGATTACAATGCACTAATCCCGCTTCATGGATATTGTGCAGATAACACGCTATTTTCTTCAAAAGATCTAATTTCGTCTTCCATGTCAATCTGTTGATATTTTGATCCAAATAAGACAAAAGATTACCAAGGTTAGCATACTGCATAATGATAATGTAGTCCTTTGTTTCTGGATTTTGTGTGACTCCATGAATTTGAAGGAAAGAACGACTCTTGCATCTAGCATGATTTCTGAACTGTTAATAAATACAACGTCAAATTAAATATCACTTTTAAATTCAATCCACCAATTATTGCTTACCTCGGAAATAACTAATTCCGGCGCCTGATCAAAATTCTTAAAGCATTTGAGCACAACAATTCCTGGCATGTATCTTACATACACTTCATGTTTGGCAACATAGATTGTTCCATAACAACCCGATCCGATCTCTTTGAGATCATAAAAGTTGGCATACTGCACAAACCGAACATCTCGGTTCATATTAAGTCGTATATATTTGTCCAATATTGTTTGTATTTCATAGTAGAAAACTAAATAGTATTCCCGAGTATATGGATCTTGAGTGATTCCGATTATCCAAATGTTATCTGGTGTCAACATCTCTGGATATTCCTTAATTAGCTGTTGAAATTGTACAATCATTACAACAATCAATGCAATGTATACTTAACGTAAATGCTATTTACAACTACATTATATTACATGTGAAATAATTTACCTGGTGAGAATCGAGTGACTGAATATCCCCTACCGGCTTGAGTGTCACTTTTGTCAATTCATTCAACGTCGGTTCTAACCAAGATGCTATACGTGAGCATCCATGGCGTAACGATGTCACCCATTGTACATTGGTCAGTAGTGAGTATTCAATCCATTGTATGTAGGCGTCATCTTCATGCGCAGTATTACGCCATGACTCCATAATGAATAAATCCAAAGATTTGTTGCCAGTCGTCCAATCAAGAGGTCTTGGTGCTTTACAGTGGTAACAAAATGTATTTATCTTGGGTACTAACTGCTTTACACATGCCAGACATAATCCAATGTCATCAAATTGTTTTATCAAATAGTATCCTTTTGGACTTGCGCGGTATGTAAATCCAATGGTAATCCAAACATCCGTGGTAAGAATATCGGGATGCTCATCACATAACTAGCGAACATAACACAATATATTAGAGCCTAATTATCCAAACAATTCATAAGCATGATGTGTAATTGTGATGAATAATTTACCTTGTCAAAATATAAATCATCCGTCTCATCCGATATTTCAAGCGGAATCAATGCAACACGTGCATGCTTGATAGTAGATAAATAATTTAGGCGTACAAAAGTTTCCCGAATTTGAATATGCTCAAATGGAATCCATTCCAAATAGGCATCGTTTGCCGAGTTCGTTTGTAATTGAGTTTTCTTAATAAACTCATCGAGTCGCTCATTGTTGCTAGTCCATCCGTCGGATAATTGTTTATGTCCACAAACGCACCACACTGGACTACATCGAAGTATTCCGCATGCGGAGCAGAATCCATATCGACAATAACAATGGTAAACCATTTTTTTAGCAACCAT